ATGGTTGCAGACCCCTGTGAATGTACTAGAAACCACTCTAGATAGGTGAGTTAAATCTCGATAAAGCTGCTAAAAAATAATGAAGGCCAGGAATGGGGCTCAAGCCCATAATCCCGGCACTTTAGGAGGCTGAGGCAGGAGGATTGCTTGAGGCCAGGAAGGAGTTCAAGACCAGCTTGGGCAACACAGCGAGGCCTTGTCTTTACAAAAGTTTTTTTAAAAAATTAGCCTGGGGCCGGCCGCAGTGGCTCACGCCTGTAATCCTAGCTCTCTTGGAGGCCAAGGTGGGCGGATTGCTTGAGCTCAGGAGTTCCAAACCAGCCTGAGCAAGAGCGAGATCCCGTCTCTACTAAAAATAGAAAGAAATTAATCGGACAACTAAAAATATGTAGAAAAAAAAAAATTAGCCTGGCCTGGTGGTGCACGCCTATAGTCCCAGCTACTCTGGAGGCTGAGGTGGGAGGATCACTTGAGCCCAGGCATTCGAGGCTGCAGTGATGGTCGTGCCACTGCACTCCAGCCTGAGTGACAGAGCAAGACCCTGTCTTTAAAAAAAAAAAAAAAAAAAGGCAATGTTGGTTCATGAGTTGTGAAAAATGAGCCACTGTAAGATATAACATGTTAACAATAGGAAAATCTGGGTGAACTCTATTTTTGTAAATTTTCCTAAAATATAGAAAGCTTACTCAAAAATTACATTAAATATATATAAATTGTATACATAAATAAATATACAGTTAAAAATAAAAGTGCTATAAAGACCACCCTGGCAAGAGGCTGCTGCAATCTTAAGTCCTGACAGGGATTTGAAATAGGGACGTGGCCACGGGAAGAACTTAGTGACCACTGGGTGGTTTGCGAGGGGGACAGACATTCAGCTGGATGGGTACTAGTTTCCTACTGGCACTGTAACAAATTACCACAAACTTAGAGGCTTAAAACCACACAGATTTATTATCTTATCTTGGTTCTAGAGGTCAGGAGTCCAGCATGGTTTTCACGGGGCTAAAGTCGCATCAGTGGGGCTGCATTTCCCTACAGAGGCTCTGGAGACGAATCTGTTGCCATTTCTAGCTTCTACAGGCCACCTGCCTCCCCTGGCACAGGGCCCTTCCGCCTGCACAGCCAGCAGCACAGCGCCTCGCCTACCTCACTCACCCTCCCAGCCCCGTCTTTTGCTGACAAGGGCCATCTGATCATACCATGTCCACCTCAAAATCCTTAATCACAGCCACAGTCCCTTTAGCCAAGTAAGGCAACGTTCACCACACAGGGGGTGATCAGAGAGGGGCACTCAGGAGGAGGCTGGGAGTGGAAGTGAGGTCGGCTTTGGATGGGGGGGGCCTGAGGTGCCTGCAGGACATCTATGGGGAACTGCTCCTTGGCTTCCTTCACCAAATACTAACACCTCCCAAGAGACGGTCACAGGGATATAAAGGTGGATTTCACTGGTCTCAAAACAGTTGCTTTTCATTTTTGAACATTTCTGAAATTAAGATGCATCTTTTAATGGCATTGTACAAGTGTAACTGGCAGGCTTTTTCTTTCTTAGTGACACATAAAGTAAGGTATCCTACCACTGATGGCTTCTTAGAGTCAACGAAATTCCAGTCTGGGCTGGCACTAGAGTGGGCCTCACCAGAGCATCAGGTGCCCCCACCCCGGCCCAGCTCTCCACTTGCCTAGCTCCTAGCCTGGGGATCCCACATGTCTGAGGCTCTGATGCTCAGATCCCCTGTAACTAACAGACTCCACCAGACCCACACACATGCTCAGGTCTGTGAACACAGCAGGGCCCAGGACCACCCCTCTCCCCAGGAGATTCCAGTGGGGGAGCCAAGATGGAAAAGTGTAAGAAACCACCCAACTAGGTGCAAGTGAGGACAGACATAAGGCAGCACTGGTGGTGGGTGCTAGGCCCAGACTAGACGATTACACCTCTCTCTCCCCCATCCCCCCTCCACCACACTCTGCATTCCTGGAAGGGGACCAGCCCAGTTACCTCAGTTTCCTCAAGGCACTAGCCCTGTGCCAGGCACACTGTGAGAGCCCAGGGAATGTAAGCGCAAGGCCTCAAAGGACAGGCAGAAAAAGCTTTGTGCCAAGAAAGGTCTGGGAAAGAAGTCCACTGGGTTTGGGCCAGCCCTCTGATTCACTGTGTGACCTTCAGAGAGTCACTGCCCCTCTATGCCTGGTTGGCACCTTACCTAAACTGGCTCTCAGAATCTTACGGACTGGATGATCTTGGCCCACTGGTTCCACCATTTCTGTCCACCATCTAGGGAGCTTCCTGCTCACCCCCAACAGAGTTCCAAAGTCTAGATGTCCCAGCCCTTCCAGGCCTAAAATCTCCACTTTTGGGGCTCTATCCCCCGGTGGCTGCAAGGACAAAAAATCTGAGGTCCTGAAAACCAAAGACCTGAGAACAGCAAAACAAGAACCCCCAGAGAAGACTGCAGAATAGAATGTGCGTGAAGGGATGTCACATGGTGGGCAGAGTCCAGGTGGCAAGGCCACAGAACACCTGACAGGCCCTACCCCTAACAGTGGTAAACAAAGGTGAGGTGGCTCAAGATGCTGGAGAGACACTCCCAAGGACGAACTTCATGGGAGAAAACACTGAAGGACTGAGGCAAGTCCAAAGGGGCTGTGGCGAAGGCCTTTTGCTTCTGGCCATCAGCACAGCCAAGTCCCTAATACACAACTAAAGGCTTTTATTGGGCAAGGGAAATTGACTGAAAAGTGGCCTCGAACATCCTCACTGCCTGAGGCAGCTGGGGCCTCTTTCACAAAGTCCAGGAAAGAAGGGGCCACCAGACTGGACCTTCAGCAGGCTCAGGTGTAGAGGTCAAAGTCAATGCGTTTGGAGTTGTAGAACTGACCACCAGGGGGGTCCAGCTTCCGGCAATAAACACCATCTGGGAAGTAGCCTTCACTCACCCAGGTCTGCAGGAAGAGAGGGCAAAACTGGGTAAGAAATGATAACAGTAGGGGGAAGGCGGGGACTAGGCAGAAGGAGAACGGGCTTACCTGCATCTGGGCACTGGTGAAGGGCCCGTACAGCTCAGCATCCCCTGTGTTCTCCCACTTATATTCCCACATCACATCCACCAGACCATCTCCCGGCGACTCTGCTTCTAAAATAACATGCAAAGCCATCTGGGCCTCAAGTGCCCTGCCTCCTGCCCACTGTGCCCCTCCTCTGCCTTCCAAGCTCACCTCCTCTTTGGGCGTGGGTTGCGGTCTCCAGCTCCCCCTCTGCCACTTCCTCAGCGAACATGTCCAGGGAAGGTGGGGGTGTGGGGTCCCGGGGTCCCTGGGTCCGGCACCCCAAACCCTTTAGCCGCATGGCTAACCGTTCCCTTGTTTCCTGGTATACGCCAAGGTTGCCCCGGGCCACCATCTGGTCAGCCAACCCAGAGAGCCGGTCTAGGCGCTGGGGGGAACTGGGCCGCCCAGGCCCCTTGCTACCCTCTTTGCCTCCTCCTCGGGCCCCCAGACGCCTCAGTGCCCCAGCCACTGTTTCCCGAGGCAACAGGAGCTCCAGAAGTCCTTCTAGGAGGGCTTGGGCACTCATTGGTGTCTGGCCCAAGCTATCCTCCTCCTCCTCTGAGTCTGAGGCCTGACGCTGATCAGGTGGCCGCTCCCTGATCTTCACCTATAATAGCAAAACAGGCAGTTATTTCCTACAAACTGCCATGGGTGCCTAGCCCCAGAATTTGCCACCCCCAGGCTCCAGCCATGCCAGTCCCTGGGCCACACCCAGTCAATGTTGTCCAGCCAGCTGTCACGAATCTGAGCATCCCGGTTCAGGAAGTAGTTGCCATCAGCATCAAAGTGGCCCTCCTCCATCTCTTCCTGCAGGTTGAAGGGTGTGATCCGTACACCCCCCTCGCTGGGGAGAGTGGCTGCTTCCTGACCTGCACCAAAGATACAGTTGCCCCATGCTAGGCATGCAAAAAAAACGCAGGGGTCTCCCTTGCTCCACGCCTCCCCCTCAGAAGTCCCTACTTGTCCCTCCAGTAGAGTCAATTCTTGGGTATAGCTCACCTTCCACATCCTCTGAAGCCAGGATGTCATATTTGCTGGACCCCTCATCATCATCATCTTCCTCATCACTGTCCAAAGAGTGTTTGCCTTTGAAGCGACTCCCAGGACCTCCTGCCCCAGCCACGGGGTCCATCAGCTGTGAGCAGAAACCAGACAGTCAAGAAATGTAGGTTACTGGCTACTTTCCAAAATACTCTAGGATCTGAACCCAAACCAAAAATCCTCCAAACCCATTCCTCAGAGGACCTAGAAAAACTAACCCTTTCTTTGTCCCCACAGCTTCATTTCTCTTCAAGCTTCTAGGTCCTCTCTTTCCCCCTCAACCCTCCCCAGGATGTGGGAGTTTGGCCCCCTCACCTTCTTCTTGGGGACGCTGATTTCATCCTCATCATCTTCATCTCCCACACCTTGGAAGGTCACTTTCCTCTTTGACATGATGGGACGGAGAGGTCTTCCTCCAGCTGAGCCGTGGAAAAGGATGCAGAGGAAGGGAGCTGGGTGAGAAGGGTACTCGCCGCCAGAGGACCGCCTGCACAACAAACATTTCTCCTGGTATGTACCACGTACAGTTTGGGAGGGGAGGGATCACAGAAGCAGGGGCTGAAAGGGGAGCTGGCAGCCAGGAGGCCCCGGTACTTGGTTTGGCATTCGAGTTAATGGAAGGGCAGACGCGCGGAGGATTCCCCTCCGCCGTGGACCCTATGGATACCCCAACACTGGACGAAAGGAGAGAGGCTCTCCCACGTGATCACTCCCATAACCAGCCCCGCAGAATGGGCGCGCTGGGGTTTGGTGGGTTGACACCCGTTCCCCAACCACTAACTCCCTCAGAGACCCGCGGGATCCAGCGTGGACCCAGGAGCTGGCTCCCTGGCCGTCCCGCTCTTCCCTGCCCCGAACTCCAATTCCGCGTGGTGACCCCCAACTGTCCCGGGATGTGTGTACAAATGAAAGGGCGACAGAGCCACAAGGATTCGGCCAGTCCCCCACCTCGCGCGCTCACCTGGGGATCCACACAAGGCAGAGGAAGAAAAAGAGAGATGCTTTCGCTAGGGCTACATCCGGGGCACCCGGCCGCCATCACCCGGAAGAGGACTACGGAAAGCGCTAGGGAAGGCCGGAAGTGGCTTCACTCCGGTTAGAAGACTAACTGGATGAGCGGGCGGAAGTACACAAAGAGAAAGGGAAGACGCCACCCTTCTCTCTCCCTCCAGAAATGACGTCAGCCGCGTGGGGTGACTATGGGGAGGAGGGGACGTACTAACGCTTAGACTCTGATCCGACCTGAGGGATGGCGGGACGTGGTTTCGACTCCTTCGTACAGCAGTAGAGGCTCTGCGGGAAAAGGGGAGCGCACTGCACTGAAAGGGGCGCCTAGGATCAGGATGGGGGGGGGAAAATCCGAGCAGGGCCAGGGCGTTCTGCCCGTTTCCTGGGTCCGAGTCACCCTTCCCCCAGGACGAGCCAAGGGCTCTGCGCGCCCTAGCATCTCATTAGAAATCCTACCTTCCCGTTCCTAGCGCCTAGTTGTCAGCCTTCCCAGTCTGAGAGGTGCTCTTCTCCCTGACGGCCTGCCTTGGGGTCCTACACAGCTCTGAGGCAGGTTCAGAACCCAGCTCCCTATAGGGCTCAGGGGAAGTCATTTGCCCTACGCTCTTGGGCGAGTTCTTGGGCCAAAGAGAGCCATCACAGGAGAGATGGCATTGGCACCTGTGACCAGTACCCAGGCCAGAAGCCCCTTGTGCCCTGCTCTCAGGTAGGCCTGGAAAGGGCAACGGTGCCTCTCTCAAACCACAGCTGCAGGATGAAGCCCCCACTTAGCAAACAGGGCCCAGCAACCCCTGCCTGGGTAGTAGAATCTGGCCCAAGCAGAGGTGGGTTGAAAGGAGGTGTGAGGGGTCGGTCCCTGTGTTGTTGGGACTAGACAGACCTCTAGCTCTTGAGGACACACAGAGCCCGAATCCCCCTAGGCCAAGACTGTGTTCAGGCAGAGCCTGCTGGAGCCAGAAGAGAGCAGCATGGGAGTCCCCGCCCCCCAACTAAATGGACCACTTCTCTCTCCCCCCTGGGTTTCCTCCCATATTGGACCACCATGAAACTGCACCTGTAGTCAGTTTCTTCCACGGGCACAGAAGACAGGCACCAGACAGGATGGGCATCTTGTTCAAGAAGGGGCCCCGAAACACCGGCACCACTAATTCATTGTCTGGGGAACCTCCTCTCCCACCTGGAACACCAGGCAGACCACGTAGCCCTGAGCCTCATTTTGTTGGAGAACTGCCAGGTGGAGCGATACCTTAAGGCCACAGAAACCTAGAAACCTATGCCTTTACCATCCTGACCCCTGGGGTGGAGGACACAGCCTACAAGCTGGCTGCAGAAAAACAGGAAGAGCTGGGAGCTGGCTGGGGTGAGCTGGAAGCAGCTGGCTGTGCTGCTACCCCCCCACCCCCAGGCCCATTACCGGGAGCTGTGCCAGGCAGCTGGCCAAGAGCCCAGCTCAACCCCAGAGGACTGTGGCTTTCTAGCCACTCTCAGTACCCCCTCCAGCTTCCAGGAGTTGCATGAGCACTTTAGGAAGGAGATCCACATGCTGCAGGTGGTACGCAGAAGGTTCCAGGCCGGTGACAATGGAGGCAGCAGATCCCAGCCAAAGCTGGAGCAGGAGCTCAACCAGTGTTTGTTAATGAGTGACTGAGAGATGGACCAAAGGCCAAGAGGCACCTACTCACCAAGCTCAGCAGACTGCTTCAATAGAGACCCAGGCCCTGGCTCTCTCCCTCCCTCTCTAATCCTTGCCCCAACTCCCTCATCAAATAACAAGGCAGGAGACCAAGAGTCCAGGTACAATTGCAGGTTCTTTTCCGGTTCCTCAAAGCGCCGCATGGGGTGGGGCAGAGAGAGAAGAGAATGTAAACATTGGGTTCCACCCCCTGGAGCTCAAAGGAAGACCCTTTACCCAGATAGGGGTTGGAGGGAACAAGGTGAAAGGTGGGGGTCCTGCTGAGACAAAGCAGGGGAGGCCTGAGAATACAGAGCAAGGTGAGTGAGGAAAAGGGAGGGAAGGAGGACAGTGGGGGAAGAGAAGTGGGAGACATTTCCTATTCCAGTGCATGTCCCCTTAAATAAACCGGAGTACAGGAGCATTATGGAAGGAGAACCAAAGGACAGAAGACAGAGCAAGCACCCCAACCCCGGGCCAACCTGGTCCTGTGTACATAATTACAACACAGAGATGTCCAGAAGTATAGCGAGGAGAGCCTTAGGTTCCAGCCAGGACGTTGAGGAGAGAGCTGAAGAAGGGAAAAGGAACCTAGCTCCACCTCGCGGGTAAGGGAGCCACTGGAGTGTAGGAATCTGAGAAGTGCTGACTTCCATCGCCAAGAGTCACCCCTGTGGTGACGAGGCCAGTCAGGACAGCACCTGGGAGGGGACCCCAGAGGAAACTGGGGCAGGAGTGACAGAGACCCCAGCTGGGCCTGACTGGAAGTGAGAGCCTCCAGATTTGTTCACAGCTGCCCTGCGCACTGTGGCTGTCCTGGCTGTGTAGGGATCAGCAGCTGGCAAGGAGACAGGGAAAGCCACTTTCCTCAGAAGGAGGGACAGCCTGTCGAGGGGGCTGAGGACAGCACCCCAGGCCAGGCCTGCTCTTGGCTGAGGGAAATAGACGGGGGCCATGCAGTCCAGCCCCAGGGCAGAGGTCAAAAGTAAGCGTCCTGCCGGGCCTCAGCTGCCGAGGACCTGTCCCCGCCATCGTGGGGGCCAGGGGGCCCATCTGCCTTTCGGCGCAGCGAAAGCTTCCGGCCTTGAGCCTTCTTCTCCTGCTTCTGCCGCTCCTTCTCCTGCTTCTGCTGTTCTTTTTCCTGCTTCTCCCGCTCCTTCTCCTGCCTCTCCCTCTCTTTCTCCTGTTTCTGCCGCTCCTTCTCCCGTTCCTTTTCCTGTTTCTGCCGCTCCTTCTCCCGTTCCTTTTCCTGTTTCTGCCGCTCCTTCTCCCGTTCCTTTTCCTGTTTCTGCCGCTCCTTCTCCTGCCTCCGAGCCTCCTTGCTGGGACCCAAGGGAGTGCTGTTGCCAGTAGGCGAGGGAAGGGATGGGTGCAGTCCCTCAGCGGTGACTACAGGCCCTGGGGCAGGCCCAGCACTGGCCCTGCGTGGCAGAGAGGGCGGGGAGGGGGCCCCTCCAGCTGCCCGGGAGCCTCGGCTCTTGAGGCCAGGGAGGCTGAGGAGGCTGGAGGAGGGGCCCAGGGGTGGCTGCTGCCGCCGACGCTCCTCATGAATGGCCCGGGAGCCATGTAGTCGCCGTGAAGGCCGATACTGCAGCTCCCCCCGGGTTTCCCGCCACTTCTTGAGCTGGGCTGCATTCTCCCGCTCAATCAGTGCTTCTGTCACTGGGAGATTGGTCACCTGGACAGAGAGGAAATTAGTACCAGAATGAAAATGAGGGTAGGAATGGGCTGAGGCAGGGAGTGGGTATGCTGAGGCCCAAGGCCTACCTCATGCACCAGGAAATCCTCCTGCATGCACTGTTGGGGCAGGTTGCGCAGCTGCTCCATGGTCTCATACATGCCTTGGCAGGAGCGCAGCTTCTCCACCGAGCCCAGTGTGTGTCGCAGCAGCACCAGGGCCACCCGGAAGATGATCTTAACGCCTGCAGGGTTGGAGAGAAAAGAGAATGGGGCAACCAGGCCCAGGATCTCAGCCTGTCCCATTTAGGATGGACTCACAGCCCCCATCCCTGTCTACTGCCAACCTTACAGATGAGGCAACTGAGGCACCAGGAAGAAAATGTATTGCTGTGGGTCTTGGGTTCCTGGGAGGGAGAACAGGCTCTAAGATGGTGGCAGAACCAAGGCCAGGCCTCAGTTTCTCCAGCCCCTAGGCTGCATACAGTGATGCCTCAGCCCAAAAGTACCTTTTGTCCAAGAACACCGGAAATGTGACAGGACCCTCTGGCAGCCACCATGGAAACCCTAGCCCCTCATGGCTTGGATGGTCACAGAAATACCTTCACAGAAAAACATGTCCCAGACACGCAGCACTGAAGCCCAGGGCAGGGTACGGGCGAAGATGCACATGAACCATTCTGTCATGTAGAGCACAGGGTCAATGCGCTGTCGCCGCAGGTGCCGATGTGCCAGTGGGGAGGCTCGGCGCAAGAGCGCAAAAAAGATTTCTCCATCCAGCTGAATGGCCTCCTGGAGGTGGAATGAGCCATGAGAAGAGGGCTCAGTCTGCTGTGGCCCCTGGGGTTCAAGCAGCTCTGACAGGGGATCTTCACCTCAATGGGGAGAGGCTCAGAGGAGAAGCACACAAGGGCCAGCATCTCCCTGCAGCCTTAGGGAAAAGTCACAGCCCCAGATGCACCCAGCCTCCAGACACTCACCAGCCCTGCACTGTAGTAACCTGGGAGGTACTTGTCGCAGATCTGCACCAGGCACCAAAAGGCTTGCTGAGAAGGGCAAGAATGAGGAGGGAGGGTGGGTCCTGAGAAGCAGGGAGCGCCCCCACCACTGCAGGGTCATTCCCATCAGCACACCCATGTGCTGTTATTGCTCCTTGCTTACATCCCACCCCCACCCCAACCGGGACCACCTGTGCTGACCTCAGCAGGCATGTGCATGAGCAGCACCGCGGCCACAGGGGCCTGGGCCTGGCAGTAGCCCTCATCAGGCCGGTAGATGGTGTAGGCCTTCAGGATTCGATATAGGTCCTGTTGCCTGTGGGGATTGCAGAAGACTGTGAGGGCAATCACAGGAGCTGGGTGCTCTGACCCAAATTAAACCTGCCCAGACCCCTCCTTCCCCACATCCAGTTCTAGGCTCACCTCAGGGCTTTACCCCCACACTCCTCCATCCCCCTTCCCAAGTCCTGCCTTTCAAGCTTCAGCCAGAGGTTCAGCACAGGTAGGGCATTCCAGGCTCAGGCCTCCCGCCCTTGGCTGTACACCCCACATGCTCCCACCATTCCCAGCACAGGCTGCGCCCTCTCCCTCCCTCTGCAACCATCCCATAAACCTTCAAGGTCATTTTCTCCAGGAAGCTGTCCACAGCCACAGCATCAGCCCTCCTCTAGCACTGAATGTGTTTATCACCCCAGAGCAGGAGCTCTCCCTGGACAGGGCCTGCCTTATCTTTCCCACT